TGTCGGTTTGGTCGGTCGGTGATGCAGGAGGGCTGTTCACTGTCGGCTCTTTCTCCGAGTTATTCAACCCCTCGACAGAGGACGCCACTGCTCCCCGGGGGTGATTTTCCCAATAAATTTTTTCATCCTTTTTCTTTCAAAAAATCTTGATTTTTCATTTTTTCATCATTGGGAGAATAGTTGAAAAATATTGTAGTTAGTCATTTGAGAATTTTAATAAAATTTCTAACGTTGCATGTGCGATGTATTGAACCGGTGATTGTTATTAAAAATTTAAAGATTTTTATGGAGTTCTATATTTTATTTGAATTACACAACGAAATTTAATGGAATTCAGACGGAAAAATCTTGAAAAAAAAACGTCAGGGTAGAATGTCCGCGGAATTGGCAATTGGATTTTCATGTTTATGGAAGAAATTCATAAAATAGTGAAATTTCTTCGTCTCATCCCCTGAGAAATCAGCATTGTCCCAGCATTTTCCAAGAAACTCGGCCCCAGATTTTCCACTCTCGATTCGAATTCCGCGTAATACCCGAGAATTTCATTTTTTTAACACTCTAAAATAGTTATGAGCAAAGAGAGTGCCTGGAGAGTTTATTGATTTGCCTCTGTGCAACCCCCACCAAAAACCAGAGACTGCCTGGGCTAATGTTCGACGGTCCAGAACGCTAGATTCTGAGAGGCGCCATGAAAAATTCGCCAATTCCCTAAAAAATTCCGCGAATCAAAACCACCGAAAAAAAAAAAACAAATAAATAAATAAAAAATCAGCAACCTGTAATTTTCAGTGAATATTGGGAATGAATAAAAAAATCCTAAGAAAAAAAAAAATGGGGCAAAAACTGGATTACCCCTTGGAGTAAATCGATGGGTATTTTTTTGACAGTCAATCCGGGGCTTTAGTACTTCGGAAATCGGCGAATTGGTATCGGCATGAGTGGTATGGCAAAGTGGGGGTGTATCCACGCGTGCACACTTCCCACCGGCATTTTATGTTTTGATGGGGCAATAAACCGGCGTAAAGCAGCAGTAAAACGCATCGACTCACAAGTCCGTTGAGCCGATGCCGTTAAGTGGCCCACTACTAGCTGACACTGTCACTATCCCCGATCCTTCGATTTCTACGGCATGAGATGTCATTTACGGCTGTCTAAATGCATCCATTCATCCTGACACTCCGATTATCTCCAAGTGCTCCCTTGAATTTTTATCACTTCATCAATTTTCCTAATTATTCCGTACCTATCGCTGTCTATCGCTGTCCACGGTCATCGTCAAACAATTAAAATTAATTAAATAATCAATCACTGGGTCAATGGGATTTCGCTGCTCAATATTTATTCCTAATAGTTGAAAAAAATTAATAATTTAGATTTTTTCTTTTCATTTGACAATGAAAATGAGAAAATTATAACTGCAGATGATGAGGAGTGAAAAATTTGAGTTTTCGTTTTTTTATCTTTAGGGAATGATTTTCTTCTTCGAGATAATTTTTTCATCTGATTGTTTCCATCGGGAAAGTACATGGTGGGTAAGATACCAACCAAGTCCCCAATGCTCTGCAGATTTCTGGGATTCCCTGATTCTCAGTCGGTAAGGCAGTCCCACGAGATCGTTATAAATCGAGTGAATTCGAATGATGAGAGAAACGATTTTTCGGTGAGCGATCGCAGGAAAAATTGAGCTGACGATTAGTCTCGATGTTTTAACGATCGCGATGGCCGCGGAATCGTCGACTTCCGACAAAGCTTTTTCACATATTAATAATTCTCAACGGCGCCCACATCACCCATAACTCACAATTCCCATTAAATCCGACAAATTCGATTTGTTTGCATACACCATCTTCATAATGAATAACAAATCACGCGCGGAAAAGAATAATTTTCACAACAAGCAATAAAACAATTCCCGGAGGGCCGTAAAATTTTAATGAGTGACGGAAACATAATTACGAACCATTAACGGAATCACAAGAAGTCACGGAGGGCCATTACCCACCGATCAAAACCGGGAGCATGTTTTTTTTTTCTCTCTTTTTATTAACTCGAAGTGGCGAAAAAAAAAAAAAAATAGTGGAGGAGGGAGAATGACAACGCGGTAGTTCAGTATGCGATAACCTCCTCGAAGATGGCGCTCTGGGTGTCTCCGTGTAATCTCCAGGGCGTCACCCAAGTTGTTTCGGCCAATTTCACTCTGGAAGAGCCGTAATTTCTCGGCTAGGTGTCAGTAACTCACCGCAACCGGAATTCCAACGAGACCCACCAGCTATCTGGACCTTGATCCTCGCACCCTGCGAATTATACGTCCTGGGGATTTCAGAGACTCACGCACCGTTGCATCTGTGTTCACTGTATTGCAGTATATAAAAAGATAAGATCGATGGGCTAGAAAAAAAAAAATGAGAATACATCCATCAACGAATGATAAATAAATTTTCATCTGAACTCGACGAATTTATTTGAGAATGCGAGATATCGTTTCAATTCTTCTCACTGAGTGAATGATAAATTAATGCCCAATTATACGATCTGCGGTAGGTACCTAACGACAGATCTACGTGCAACAACTTCAAATTAACATCACGTAGGGACAGAGTACTCGAAACGCCAGTCATAACTATTGGCAATTCCTCCGGGCATTGCACCCCTGTGTTTCTTCACTGCAAAGCACTAATTCGAGAAATAAAAATATACATTCACATTTCACATATCATTGAGGGCTTCCCTTCTCCTATTACCCAACACCAGATGGCCCCTGGAATAGCGTTTTTCCCAGACGACGAGGGAAAAGAAAAGTTTCGCCAAGGGCGTGACGAGGGGGAAGTCTAAGATTCGCGATAAATCGCCGTCGACGCCATTACACTCTTTCCAGGCCTAGGGGTTCCATATATTGCGAGAAAAACGGTGTAAAAATTACTCTGAAATGAGTTTTCAATCGGAAATTATAGGCTTGAGTTTTCCCTTTTTTTTCCAGAAAAAGTTTGTAATTTATGACACAAACGACAAGGGATCCGTCACGAGAACTATTTTCCTGTCCCTCCCGTGACGAAAGAAGAAAAAAATTTAACTCTCCACTCACGAGTCGAGAGATTCCAGAAATTCTCCCTTTGTTGTTGCTGCGATCCATCCCAGATTATTTAAAAGAAGAGAAAAAAAAAATGGAAGACATTCGTCTCCACTGGAGGTATTTCTCAGGGAAATTCTTCGATTCTCGTGCACGCACCCTGATATACCTGGGGACCACGCCTGTTCGTACATTCCCGTACGTTTTTTTCGGCTCGTGGCGTTCCTCAGACGCACATCAGTGGAGGGAGAGGATCCCCAGGTGGGGAGTTAACGACCCTCCCTCGAAATTAAGGCCTGTGCCTCCGAGAGAGGCCTTCCGAGTCGTAAACGTAATTGATACGATTAAAAAAAAATTCTCCGTTCATTACACCGTTCTACATGAAATACTTTCTTTTGTTTCAGATTGTCGATAGAACAACAAGTGGTGAGTCCTAGCAATAAGTTTTCAATGAAGAACACAGTATAATTAAGATCACCCGTCGGATATCGTTATCATAATTCGTTAATTAATTCATCATTCTGCAATGATTCGGTAATTTCGAGTAATTTATTCTCGATTTAAAAAATGCGAAAAGTGCGCGTTCTCAACGGTAAGAAAAAAAATGGAGAAAAACGAGGAGAAAAAAAATTGGGGGAAAAAAAAAAAATGGAAAATGAGAGGCATCCGAAAAGTTGAAGAGGAAAAAAAAAAAGTGGGGATTGTACGTATCGGGGAGAATTCTACGGGCGATACGGTATCGAGAGAGTCGTTGGAAGATCAGCGTCGAGGAGCGAATTCGAAGGGAAGTGCGGCAGCGCTCGATTTCAGGATGAAGATGGAGAGAGGCGAGGGAAAGAGGGAACGAGGAGGCAAAGATACCCATGCGCCGCATTCAACGTGACAGCAGGTCGTCATGTGTAAGAGAAAGATATTTGTACTGCTCAAGGCGACTGAAGAGAGAGAGCCAGCGAGAGAGGAAAAAAAAAAGAAGAAAGAAGTCTGATATGGAAGAGTGCCGATCCGCCGGGCTGAAGTGGTAAGGATAGATAGACGACAACTGAGTGAGACCGAAGGGAGAGAAAAAATAAAAGGGAGAGATTCTTGAGAGAATAAAAGGAGGAGTCCGTATAAGAGGAGATATTTTGCCAAGTAAGAAGAAAGTGCAAAAAATAGGTATATATGAAGAGGGGAATGGGGAGGGAGTTGCAGAGGCTAGAGGGGAGATAAAAACAGAAGGAGATGAGTGATGCCGCTCTGTGGCAAATATTCTGAACGCATTAAACCGCATGACAATATGTGTCAACCAGGGGCCGGAGAAACACGGAGATGTGTCTTAAATCATGTTCATTGGAAATGGACAGCCTCGGTATTCAGTGGAAAAGGTAGTTAACCGTGACAGTAACTGAGGAAAAGCCCTCGTGATGCCGGGAATAATGTAGTTGTGATGATAATCCAAAATTTAGAGGTTGAAGAGTAATAGAGAACGCATGGGGTAACAACGTGGTGAGGATGAGACTGAGTGTGACACTGTTGAGAAAATATTGGCAACGAGTGAGGTAAGGATGGAAGTAGTTGTAGGTGAGTGTAGCTGGTGTAGCTCATGGAGCTAATGTAGCTCATGTAGCTCGTGTAGTGCAGCGCCACATAGAGGAGAGGAGTATTGCGATGAGGAGCAGCGCCAGTGGCGGCAAGCAAGAGGCCAAGTGAGCACGCGATAACGTGCAAAGCTCCAAGATCCAATGGGTAAAACAAGGAGAGGAGTCAAGTGTGATGGAGATAGAACGATGGCGGTAGTTTGTGTGATGGAGTGAGAGGCTAAAGCAGCGGGAGACCCATTCATCTTGGCGCGCCTAGAAGGCGTGCGATTGGCCAGTGGTTCGTAAGGCCGTTCCCCGATTGGTTAACTCTGTTTACCAGCTGTGCTATACCAAGGAGAGGGGGTGCAGGAGACGAGCGGCGCCATTATTGTAAGGGGTTACATTTAGCTGGCCGTGGTGTAGTACGCGGCGTTCGGGATAGGGGGCTATAGTACCTTCATGCATGGCCCATAAAGGATTCGTCGACTATCCGAGAAGTACGCAAGAAACGGCTTCTAACACCTGACAGGCCGCGGATCCACCCGTTTCACCCGTGTTCCCAATCCAGCCCCAATTTTACTCTCGGTTATACCTTGCACAGCTGTGCTCTTACGTGGGGGGCCCCCCCGGTCATTTTTCCCCGCAACGTTTTCACTGTAATCATCAAAAGTCTGTTTTTTTTTTCTTCTTTTTGAGATTGTTTGACCTGTCGTTTTGTGGTGGACAGTTTCGTGTGGGGAGGACGATTTTAGTGGTTGATGGGGTGTTGACAGAGTAGAAAGTTGGAGGATCGGGAAGTGGTGAAGGAACGAGAGGGACAGTGTTTTCTAGTCTTGGGTTTTGGCAGGTCAGTGAGGGAATCAGTCGCAAGGTCGTCGTTTATTTTGGCATAGTGTGATGTGCCCGGTTGCGTAAGTGGCAATAAAAAGTGAGGGTAAAGCACCGATAAACACACGTCGACTTGGCGAGAGAGGGAGCGAGGTAACACTGGAATCATTGGAGGGGGACTGTCAATACAACGTGTGGTACATGTAGTTCGAGACGGTAACCATTTGGCATTCAACAATCTCGGGGAGGAAGTGTGTGAATACTCGGAAGTGCATGAGGGGGTGATCATAAAAGCACCAGGGTAGTTGACCATTATTGATAGTTTACAAGTACAGGTGCTGTAGGATGGCAAGGACTGAGGGCGACGAGTGCGGGTGTTGACGAAGCCCAACGGATGTGTTTAATTCGCTGTGTGCAGCGATGAGTTCCAAATTTATAATTGATAGTATGCTACCAAAGTATCACCAACAATTTCATCATCAGCAGTTATTCGCAAGCGCCAATCCAAATTCAGTTCAGGCCTGCTCCAGTGGCTCGTCAACAGCGAGTCTTGAGTCTAGTATATCAGCAGCGGCGGTTGCCGCTGCAGCTGTCAATTACGCTCAGCACAGTTCACCATCACCAACGGGCTCAAGTCCCCAGCACTCGGGAAGCTCAGCATCAACATCACCGGCGGCAAGAACAACCTCGAGTATGTACCCATACGTATCCGCTGCGGCGGCTCATCATCATCACCAGCAGCAACAGGCTGTAGCAGCAGCTGCCTTCGGTGCAACATCCTCGATGGTACCCGGTTTTGGTTCATCGGTTGCATCAAGTGCAGCACTAGCTGCTGCTGCTGCTGTTGATGCAGCAACTGGTGACAAATCATGCCGCTACACAGCAAGTCTCACTGGAAATGTAGCACCTAGTTCAACAGATTCAATGGTCAACTATAGCCTATCCCATCATCATCAGAATGGTGGTACAGCTGGTGGACTTGTCTCTTCAGCACCCGCCTCATCTGCAGTATCAGCAGCATCCGCATCGATGGCCGCCGCAGCGCAATTCTATCATCAAGCGGCGGCCGCCTCCGGCGTTGTTGATCCGCTCACCTCCTGTCAACAACCCACACCTGGACAACCTGGCATACCTGATATCCCGAGGTACCCGTGGATGACCATCTCCGGTGAGTCTGTCTGGAGTACGTTGTGCGTTAACGTTCAGCATGCTAGCTCAAAAAATCTGACGTTGCATGATTGTTTTTTTGTGTGCCGTCGGACCTCTTACGCTGTCTACTACTTGCATCCCCTTAGGTCTCCATCATATTTATTTTTATTACCATCGATTGTTATGTCTCCATTCACTTTATCTCTCTCAGTCAAAGACAAGACAGAATTTGATTGAAATCTATAAATATTATCAACATAACAGCGACTAACGACACATGTAGCGATAGAGATGAAGCGTCGGGTGGCATCAGCTGGCGTCGCTTAAACCATCAAGCCCCAACAATTGTATATCTCTAACAACTTACGTAGGAGGCATGAATCATCGGGGATTTATCGTTCCCCCTTGTGAAACCAAAAATCCTTTAAAATTAGAATGTTTCAATCCGTTTATTTATAATATCCATGAATCTCCAAGTCGTCCCACGATCTCATTGAAGCATAAAAATTCCGATGCAGCGCAATGACAGGATTTGTGCTGTTCTAAATATAAATTCCGGTCATTCGAATGCTCCTCACAATCGGTAAATTGTGAAAGCATAACCTCATCACAAAAATCATTTTCAATGGAAGGCTATTTCCGAGAAAAGAAAGCACACCTTCCGGGAATCTATAATCGCCAGCAGTTTGTCTTTTACGATTGGACTCGAAGGAAAGCCTACACCTTGAGAAATTAATTTGGCCTTTCATACTGCTCGTCTGCACCGTCTACCCCCGGAAATCAAGTGCAATTTTCCACCGGTAAAGTGGTTCAACTGCAATAAAATACATGTAATGACAATGAGTACCGGGGCTACTAGGTCGCGGCAGTTATGAACTGCATCTCGATTAAGTTTTAACGGCCCTCGGATATGCTAATCACAACGAACAAGTCGTCCATTTCCCCAACTCGCTGCCATTACGAACTCATTACCGTTCATAATAAAGTTCTTTTGATTTCTAGAGCGGATCTTATTGGCAGGCCACGCGTCAATGCCAACATTTTATTCACAAATTTAATTTAATCTCCTTGAATTGCCCCTTTGTCCGTTGTTTCGATACAGAGAGCTCCAATGAGAAGTTGATGGCGATTAAGAAATCCAGAACAGTGGATCCCCTTATTCACCAGCTATAATCTTGAACTTTGAAATTCCCCGGGTTGTTTGGTCGTCAATGGAGTCATCGGCAGTCGGAAGTCTCGGAATTTTTGGCACAATGTTATATCCTGGCAAAATCCCGAAACAGAGAGGAATGAGGGGATAGCTGGTGCAAGTGGCGCCATGCTCACCCGAGCAAGCCACGTTGTCCTAATCTCTAGTCTCGTTTCTAATTGCGTCTCGTTGCAAATAGTTCGGCACGCGCCGTCGACTCGTTTCCGGCCGTTACCCCTTTTCCCCCAAGAGCATGTGTTTTCCCATGGAACCGTTGCGCCATCTAGCCCACATCCTCCGAGGCATCGATTTGAGTTTGTTTTAATAGCATCAGAAGTTGGTTGAATTGATATTTTTTCATCGTGTTTAATTTCATGTCTTCTGCTTTCAGATTGGATGAGCCCCTTCGAGCGAGTCGTCTGTGGTAAGTACCTAATCACAACAGACTTCCCCGTTTTTCGAGTCAATTTCTCAATTGAGAGGTCAAATTAAAATGTCGGCATTCCACGGTGAGGAGGTTGAAGAGCTTCCAGCACATGTGGCTGGCACATTTCTACATTTTTGTCCTAGTCAACCACTGAAAATTTTACTACTGCGTCATTTATCTCGTGTGCCCTGAAGTATGCAACTTGATTGCACTGGTGACAGTATTGTTGCACTATTCCAATATTTCAAGATAGCTAACGAGTTTGCGACGTGGTGAGCAGGCTTACTTTCAGCCAGCATAAATATTTTTCAACGAGCTATGGAGATTACTCGTTTTGATAGTCCTCTAAGTGCATAATGGCGGGTGTTAAGATAATGTAAACATTAAATTCCAAGGAAAATTGTAAAAGTGTGATCGAGTCACGTGAATGTGGATTCATAGATAAATGTTATGTTGACATGTCAGGCGAATGGGTTTGGGCATCACCTCCACCACCTCTCGACTCTTTGTTTTTTTTTTTTATTCTCACAAACAAGTTATTTACTTGAGCTCCCCAATTTTCCAAATGAAAAATGCGAATTCGAACGATAATGGGAGTGAATTACAGCCCCAATAATTGACTCTGGGTAATTATTGAATAGGTTGGGATCGGGGTTGGTCAACAAACAGGGGAAATAGACCATAAGAGGGCTGAAAAGGCCGCAATGACTGGCAGTAGCCGCTGGGCGATGTAGTCGATGGTCGGTGTAAGGTGCCCATGGGTAAAACGTCGTTGAAGATCATAAAATCATTACGTCCCGGAGCTTTACCCCAGCACAGACCACACCTGATCCTTGTAAACCAATCTCGAGTGCTTGGACTCGAGAGACTCGAGAATTCAGCCATATTTTATGACTGGAGAACCAAACACCATCTGATACAGACAAGAAGATTGTCGCATCCTCGAAAATATCACCACATTCGGCCAAACCGCGCCATTCAACGATAAATCCCCCAGATACTGGCAGATGGTAATTATCATCGTCGACAAATAGAAAAAATGAAAAAGTGCATTTTGATGTTTAATTCTTAACAAGTGGAGGGACAAGGAGCTGCACCGCTGATTAGAATCCCCGAGTGGGCAAAGAGGATTGGCAAATTCTGGTATTCACCAGTAAATCGGGGGTTGCCAGTGATACAGCACGTGAATATCAGCCGAAACTCGCCCTACGCGGTGGCATTTGCATAATGGCATTCTTGCTTTTATCGCGATCCATATAATATACGGTACCTCCGCGGCGTCTTTCGCTTCGCGGTGTTCCCATTAACCTCTTTTACCCATTATACCTCGTGCCCGCAACGCTCGTTCTCTTTATTTATTCTCTCGGTTTCATCTTCCCTTCAAAGCTCTGAGCCTCTTCCCGCCAATACTCTCCTCCATCTTCGTTACTTTCCACCACTTTTTCATTTTTTTTTTTTCTTTCAAGCCTCTCCCCACGGGAGATCCTACTCTTTTTTATTCAACTCCCATCCCTCCGCAGCCCGTCTCCTCTTTGTTCGCAATCACGGCACGTCTGGAATTTCTGGAGTCTCTGATACCAGGAAAGCACACGGAATACCATTTCTCGTCGGTTGAATTATTTTCCGCAAAAATCCATGAATAGAGGGACGGGAGGGGGGCCTCACCAGCTAATCCCGAGGTTATTGTACTTAGAGGTATAAAAACCGGACGACGCTAACCTCAAAAATAAAAACTCGTAAAACTCTGGTCTCATTATAATATTAAATTTGATGAATTATTCATTCTGGCGGAGGGCATCAGTTGGCTACCACTTTTACCCTCGACAACATCTCCAAGAGGGTCTGTCCCTTTGATAAGGGATGCCCCCACACTCCGCCATCCAAAAAATTAATAAAAAAAAATCATAAAAACGTCGTGGGTAATATTTTTCAACCTTTGTAAATATCACGAAATGGTATTGAATGAAGGATCCGTTGTATATTAAAAATATTCATTAGATCATCAACGCGTCCATCGATCGTTAGAAGGATGAACGACGATCGATCGAGAGACGATGGTACATGAATTTCGATGAGAGAAAAAAAGAGAATAAATACAAAACAATATTTAATTCTCAATTGTTTGGTTATCCAGGCGTGTAGTCGGTTGTGTAGTGAATACTCGAAACACGTCCGGGCGATAGATTATGTTCTCCCCTTGCACCTCACGAGAAAGTTGGGTCCAGCGGATGCTGGGGTTCCGATCGCTGGGATTTTCGGTGGTACGTGGCCTAGGCAGTCGAGAGATAATGCATAATTTATAATCAGAGCGATACGGCGTCCCCAGGCTGTGGGCTAAACCCTCATTAGCATTCGATGATGGCTGCCTGTCCTGCAGTGACGTTCCGGTATTATCCCGGGGTAACCATCCCCCTCTCAGTCCTCCGAGAAATTGTTCCACAGCACTTGCTCTCATCTGACGCTCCATCGAACCAATCACCGATTTTCAAAAGTCCATCACTAAAAATCCCGTTATCATTCGAATGATAAAAAAAAATTAACTCCCATTAGATAAAAAATCAGGAATTTATTTTATCCTTCGAGTTCTTCGATTTTCTTCAATTCTCCATTTCTATTTTTACACAGAAATAAAAAATTACTAGATCCATCAAAAATTACTGATTCCATTGGTCTAGGAATTTTTTTTTATCCACCAAATAAAAATCCAAAATCATCAATTAATTTTAACTTGTGACGGTGTAAACATTCAATAACGATATCTTGATTTATAATGATTGATGACTGGTGTGGGTTGAATGGAATCGGATAGAGTCCAAGGTGGGTCTGCTCCCGTAGAAGTTCAAGAGCTGACTGACGGGGACCCCGGGTGTAGCAAAAAGGACCGGGAAGAGGAGTCAGGTCAGGAGGAATCGTGTTGTCACAGAGATTATTGAAACTGCAGTTTTATGGCTCTTAAAAGCAGTTTAATTGCCGTTATATAAGTGTTTATGTGCTGCCAGGTTGCCGGCGTCCGTGTGCCACCCTAAACGTTTATTTTATGGTCATACGACGCGCCGCCGTGGCGTACCCCGTTGTCGCGTGCCAGGGCCATCATACCCGTTCACTAAATCCCGAGACATCTATCAAATACCATTTTTCCCTCTCCCCTCTCCACGAAATCCAAATCCCTTCTTAAAATATTAATTACCATAATTATCAATAGAATATCGATTAGACTTCTCGGATCTCTCATTTCTCTCTCGCAATCCATTTTCTCATCTTTTAATTCACCCGACGCGACGAATCGCTTTCATATGCCGTCCAACGCCTCCCAACATGCCTCAAATTGCCATCTCCCCCCATTCCATTCCATTCGCATCTAGAATGTATAATTAAATTTTCTATTTTGCATCGGATACACACAAGCGTGAAAAACACAGAAACGGGAATTATTCCGAGATGCCAGAGGTTGTTCCCAAGATTGCATTCTTCGTGGAAGATGCGGAGAGTCACGGAGAGGTTTTTAGAAAGTGTCGCAACCCATCTACTTTCTATTTTTTTTTTCTCTCCCCCTCGACATGCAACCCTGAGGAGTCTTCCGGACATTTCCCTTTTTTTTTTTCTTCCTCAACCCGATGGAACTTTCACTACCCTTTGTCGAAGTCGCGCTGTCCGGAGGGTTCGGGCAATAAACTCTACCTGATGCAAGGGCCCAGTGGTAAAAAAAGGAGAAAGCACGGAGTTCGTCAGTTTTTTTAAGGGGGTTTGTAAATCATTCGTTTACCATGGGCTCCGAGAAAGTAAAGGCTTTGAAAAACTCCTGGAACCCCAGGTTTTCCCACGTTTCATCACTTTTCACTCCTCCATTTTTTCGTCAATCCAAAAAACGCAATTGTCCTATCAATTCCACCAGGAAGTATCAGAAGTTAATTAATGGAAATGTTAGGCTCGATTTATTTAATCTGATGTCTTGGCTACTGAATTTATTCTGTAGTTGTTGTGATAATTTTTTTTCGGCGAATCCACGGAAATGACTTCCCGCAAGTCCCGGCACTCCTGCATTCCAATAATTCCCCGCATTCATCTGTTGCATAATGTAAGTAACTACCCAATTCCACTATCTGCATTACTATAACGGCCGATAAACCCAACGTAGACTCCTTGAAACGACTGAGTAACGACTTGAAGCATAACGCATGCCTTCAAGTCCTCATGTTGCTGGTTTTCGTGGTTGGCGCAATTATCTGCGTTCAACCGAGCCAATTTGTTGCAATTACTTTGTCCAGATGATCTGCCTCGTGAATAATTGGAATACGAAGTGAACAAGTGGCTGAATATAATATGATTATCCGGGGAATGTGATAACGCAAAACCTGATGACAAGAAAAAATCAAATAAAAAATCAACGCACATCTAATTGATCAGTCTTATCATCGAGAGGAATCTCAAGGCCGCTGGTGAATCCCACGCAATCATCTCCAATCATTCACCGATTAATTCATGACTATCTCTTATCAAAACGCCATTGAAACGACCTCTGGGTGTTGTAAAAAAAATTCTGATAAACCGATACGGAGACGCGTCATCCCGTGAATTTTCCTTAACTTAAACCCAGGAAATAAGAAAATCCCAGGATCAGTTCTGCCTGCTCAATCCATCGAATTCAATTTTCCGGTAATTTTCCGGTGGAAATAATGGGGCAGGCGACGAAAAAAAAAAAAGTATTAGAGAGATGGTGAGAATTTAGAAGTGGATATGGAATTGAGGTTGGTAAGGGGCAGACAGCATATGATAGTGAGGCATCCAGACATCTTTAGCATCATTTGGTTGGTGAAATAAATTTGTCAGGGTGGAGAGGGCTAGGTGTATACCCGTCGTAACGTATTCCCTCGACTGGTCCCTCCATTTCACATCGATAAACGCTGCTGAGTCCATCGTCTATGGATATGTAGCTCTCGTAACGATACCATAGAGTGGAAGGAGCCCCTTGTGGCTAGTAACGTAACAAATGTGGCAGT